GGAAGCATGTGGGGATGAGTCACTGTGAATTAATTGATTCTGCTTGCTGCCCTAAGACGAGATATATCGCTTGGCATAGAGCCATAGAGCTACGCAATCCTTCTAGAATATTTCCGTCCTAGCCGAGCACGCCATGACATCATTGGTAGCATTGAGCTATTGACTGCATTCCAACCATCTCCGCCCTCCGCTCATCGGCGAAATCCGGCCGATACATGTGAGCCGTCAAATCCGATAAACATCTCATGCCCAGGAGATTGCAACAGTCAGATGATGGAAAGTAGGGCGGACGTGAAACGCCCAGCGATGTTGTGGAAGCTGGTGGCGAGCCGCGTACTGGCGATAACGGCATTGAAGTCAATTCCTGACCCACTGCTACTGTACCTTACCCACCGACACTGACGATCGGCATCCTGGCGGGACGACACCACGTGGTGGCAAGGAAGTTTATAGTGTTCAAGCCCCCGGGCGAGGTGTTCGATTGATCGCGGGGAGAAGCTTTAAAAATAGCAGCTGATAACAAGCCTAATCACTCATATAGAAGATCGCGCAGATCACTTCGTAAGAGACTGACGTGGAATAACCGCTTGTAGCAAAATCACTGAGACCTAGCCATGCGGGACTTCTTCATTCCAGGGATTTCTTTGTAGCACAGGCTGCATTCTCCTCTGTACTCTTGGCGATGACATTGCAGAATGATGCCAAAAGCTTAGTCTGGTCTGCTGACGTTTACGACCGGGAAGCGTAAGTGCTGGACAACTTTGACTGGTTCGCCTTCGAAGCAGGGAGGCTCCGACTTTGGTTGTATCACCTCCGTAAACAGCATTCATGTACATCAGGGGCGAACGGCACATGCCTATCTAGGTCTTTGCGTTTTAATTGGGGTGGTTGGAAGGTATGCTGGACTAGGTATGTATTCTGCTGATAGACAGGGTACCCACCACGAATGACACTGAGTCCCAACCACCGATGCCGAGCGGCACAGCGATACTTACTTCAGATTACGCAAAAGTACCGCGCGTTAATTCTGGTCTTGGCTCATTTCTTTTCATGAACGGGTGCTTTGCAAGTTGCGTGTTTTGTTTCACGTTGTTTGTCGCAGCAGAGTATCCGAATTGCCGAACGTAGGTCGGGCTTTGCGGAATGCCAACCTTTGAGGCGGGCCACACTTTGCTGGGTAGCCATCTAGGGTAATGCAATGTCAAGAGCATCAGGCTTACTAGATGGCAGAGAACAGTAAGGGCCTCGGGAGCCCTGTGCCAGTCAAAAAAGACCAGGCCCAGTTTGAGTTCAAGTGCATGTGGCTCGTTTGCTGAAGACTGTTTCTTTTCAATCACGTAAGCGAATAATCTTCAGAAAGCCTAACCGCCATTGTAAACACCTACAATGAATCGAGAATTGGCCGCAGCACCTAAAGCCCTCAAGTCGACTACTAACCCGAGAGAAGAGCAATGCTTTTTGGGCTTCGTATGGACAGCACAGACGTCCGGGTAGGTAGTCATAGAGTAAGTCATTGATTTCACATACGTAAAATTGTTCTTTTCAGCAATAACAATCAGTGTACGATGGCATGTGAGCAAAAATGCGTGGTCCTGCATCATTCGCCGAACTGTTTGCACCCCTGCGTGCCTGTCACCTGTGTGAGAAACGTTTCAGGACCCTTCGAATTAGCTCACTTCCATTACTTCAAGAAGGGCAGAGAGAATGTGGACTTCGAAGGCTATGTTTGTTTGAGTGACCGACCACGGAGTATGTATTACACAACTTGTAGTAGCAACCAAACCCTCACATTACGTTGTAACGTGCGGTTCAGAAAGCTTCTTCGAGAAGTTTCTTTGGGAGTAGATTTGGCTAATTACAGACCGTCTTGTAGGTATTTATAACAGAACTATTGCGAATATGCACCAAAATCCGTCGCTCAAGACCTTAAGCCGCTATTATCAACAGCCTCAAAGGTCTAGTTCCATAAGGTATTCAGATCAAAACCGGCTGGCAGTAGTGTACTATCTGTTCAGCCCGTCTGTAATCGTGGAGAAGGGCGTGAGGCTGAGCCTGAATCATATACGCCCACATACCCGACAATGGATATGTTTAAATGACGGGGTCGCGAGAACGGTGCGCCGCAGAAGACCGCAGGAAAAGCCGCCCCAGCACTCGGTGATACTATCTGGGAACTCATTGTCCTCGTGGAATTAGATACGGGATCAACATTGGAATAACTCGGACACAATAATATCGTTGGATAAAGACAATATTGATACACACAGCCCAATCACTCATAGAACTGCACTTGGTTTTGTCTTCAGTCAGGGCTGTAGCAGAATCTTGCTCGCGGATGACAGTTACCTCTACCAGACGGCCTTTCTTTCCTTTCAGTCTACGTCTGAAGAATCGTAGGACTGTCCAAAATCGTTTTCTTGCACCCCAATCCATACGCCTTCATTTCGTCGAATGAGAATTCTTTCCACCCGGCATCGCGAGCACCGGGGAGCCCCGCACTCCGCATTCGGACAAGGATCTACTACCACTGGGATCGCGGAATGAGTGCAACGGCACTGATGGATTTCAGAGTAGATGTCAGATTGAACTACCGAAGAGAATACGCCGGCGCGGTTGGAACGGAGGGATAGCGACAAGCTTTATAAACAGAACACTTACGCATGTCCATATAAAGACGTACTTCTTTCGATTGTGATTGTTCGTTAATAAATGCTGTGCGTGAGGATATCGTCAGCAGCCACACTGGGTATCCGAAAGTAGCGGTGAGGAGAAGAGCAACTACCATGATTTTGCTGCCTTGTCTCGCCACTGTCTTCGATTTGCACTTCTAGCGCTAGCGGCCGCTATGTCTGGGGGTTTGATTGAACCGAGGCTGCCGGGGCTGAGACCAACATGCAAGAATGACGTGAATGGCAACTGTGGTGGTTGCGGCTGATGGATGGAATATTTCAGGATGGTGTGAAGGAAATTATGGCTACCGGAGACTGGACTTGGCTCTATATGAAGGAGTATGTTTCTACTTATGGTGTGAAGTATGCAAAATGGATCTGGGACTTTGAGACGCGCAGGATTTCATCCAGAGGGGCCTCATGCTCGCGCCAGCCTACAGGCGGTATCGGAGAGACCATTTTGTCAAAGTTCTGTGTGTGAGATCAATATTCAACTGTACACACCGAAGCTGGCATGTCTCACAAAAAATGACGGCAACCTACCGATGTGACGGAAAGGCTTCCAATCTCTCAGGATGCGCGGGTTAAACCCTCAAGCTTCACGGCGGTACTTACAAAGAAGCATTGTTCGTGTTGGAAACGTGGCACAACTTCAACGGGCGTCACTTGGGAAGAAGATGGTCTCCTGACCTCCCGGAAATTGCGCTTACTGTTTGCAAGCATGTCGTCTCTGCTATGATTCAGATTTAACAAGGATCATGGTGGCCACAAATCCAATAGGCTAAGAGGTTTGCGAAGTCTTGAGCAGAAACCGCACACATGCGGGCAAACGTGGTCGTCCAGGATGGATGGCCTTACGTCGCTCCCATCAAGCAGCATGAACTTGTGTAACCCATCTTCCCTGATCAAACGAGCATGGCACCGAAGTAGATTTTTGTCGATTGATCCGCGGGGTGCTTGACATAGAAAGTAAAGACCCGTGGTAGATCATGAAGGTAACCGGGTTTGCGGTATGCTCCAACGTCATCTTGTGATCTCTTTATTTGAATCACCAACAAGAAGACGAGAACCCGGCTCGTGGTGGCTGTGTCTCCGGCCCATCAATCCCGTACAAGCGACGGGAGACATCGTGACGTGAAGCAGTAGTAGCCCTAATCCATCTGGGAATTTGTGGGATGTGGACGCATGTGACCTTCTTTGCCGCTCTGTGCGAGACAGACTAAGAAGAAATAGGCAAGAACGCCGGTTCTTACGCGTGAATATCTATTTGCAATGTCACTTTATCATATCCAGTTGTCTCAATACTTGCCGTTGAGCCATGACCGCCGCGTCAAAGAGGTAAATGGTACCAGATGTGACCGGAATACAATGTGGACGACCAATATTCCGTATCGTAATATGGTTTGGACAGGCCGAAGCCGGAGGATCAGTGTCAGATTGCTTCAGGGAGCCAAACAAGTAGGAAGTCTCGGGGGCTGCGGATTCTCGGAAGCCGCCCCCAAAGCAGGTAGCCCGGCAGTATTAATCTTTCAGATTCTGTAAAGTCTAGCCTGTGGCGAACTGGAGAGCCCGGTGAGGTTGACAATGACTCTCTGACATGCTCTGGCGATGTTCAGTTTGTTGCCTGCAGCCCGACTGGAGCATACCGACCATAGCCACCATGCTAGCCAGGGTTATGAGAACTACCGACAATATGTTCACCATCAATGAACACCTTAAGGCACAGAGAACACATCTTGGGTAAGACGTGGTCGTAAAGATGCACTCACATCGACGGAAGTTTGCAGGCAAATGTAGAAAAATTAGAAGATGGCCAGGCGTTGAGGTAATATCGGCAATCGGTCACGCGTTGGATCACTTGGCTGCGGCAAGGCAGCCGGCCAGGTCATGAGGCTGATCTGCTTGCACTGCCACCCTGTGCGTGCTGCCTTCGTCTAGCCGAGAAAATACACTTCGCCCAGACAGCCCAGCCTGAACACGTGCACATAATCAATATTGAAGCACGTGAATCAGACACACATCCCGGGCAGAATGACTTCATCGAGGGGGCTTTCTACATTTCTCTGCAGAAGTGACATCAATACGAGTGTGAGTTTGGTGCGAAATCGGAAGCGGATGTGCCAAGATGTGGCTTCACTGGACCCGCAAAGCACTGCTTCTTGCTCCAAAATGCAGAAGCTACGGCAAAGTTGGGAGAGATGACGAATGATACATATGCTCCCTAGCCAGCCCCGACGGATCACAAGACTGCGATTTGTGGCTGAGTGCAGGTTTATTATATTTGCTCATGTGCCCGATACAAACACCCAACGCCGCGCTTTCAAAACGATTCTAGTACAATACACGGGGCACCCAAAAGGGGGCCTTCTGCAAGTCGACTTCTATCCTACACTTATCATTGAGGTCGGCACCCTCGTCCGAGCACCCCACAACCTTCCGGCAATGCTCCACTTCTTGCCGGCTGACTCCCGCTGGGTCTCGTGGGATCCACAGTACCGGAGGCGGAGATGCCATTTCCGGTGGCCAGTAGGCTCGTCGAGCGTAGTCCGGAGGATAAGTCGCCGTTGGGTCTGGGAGATCATTGGGAATCAGACGACGAAGAGTGGCAAAGTCGTCAAATACACCCGGATGTAACCAATGGAGGAGGAAATTGGGTTTGATGGACGGGTCCGGCGCGATCCAGTAAGTAAGATATCCAAGGGGACGCGCCAGGCCCCAATTGTTGGCGGCTTCTTGGGCCTTTTTAAGAATCTGGCCACTGGACCAGTCGGTGACGGACACCATCAAACCACTTGCGCCCTCTACCCCACGGGTGCCATGGGTCTCATGCGCAGGTCCTTCGCTTTCGTCGATGGGATCCAAAAAGTCCGGGTACGACATGTTGATATCGGCATCGGTGAGGAAGTCGTCTTGAGGGTACTGGTTCATAGGTCCTCCATCGAGCTCTTCCATCTCAAGTGCCAGCGCCCGGGGTATGTTGTATAGCAATGGCGAGACGGCCTCGCGAAGGGAGATGTGCACCAACGCGGTGAAAACGAGGAATGCCACCATGAGAACCATGGGTATGTATGCCTCGCGCAAAACAAACAGGCCGACGAGACATATCGTAGCAAGGTAAAGGCCAACCAGCAGGTGCATGAGCGCACGAGGGTAGACAAGGCCTCTCGTATCAATGGACGCGTTGCTGACGTACATCAGATTGTACTTGTAAACCAGATATATGCAGGAGAACCCAGCTGTCGCAAAGCCCAGGACGACGGGTGCAATGCAGGAGTAACTGATAGCTACATAAGGTTAGCTCACTCCGAACGAAGCAGTCGAGTGGTCGGCTTACCAATGACACCCATGTTGGTGAAGACGGGGAAGACTGCCCCCCAGTGGATTGGGCGATCTCTGTGCCATATCCTGAAAAGACCACGAGGGTTGTCAAAGCTTTTGGCAAGAAGGTGATGGCGGACGACGTCGAAGGCTCGTACTAGAGAGGCGGCCCCCACCGCCAAGCATTGGATTAGGATGTATGAAATGTAGAAGTTGGAGGCTTTTGGCAGGTTCTCGGCAAGAAGGTCCTTGGCTGAGAGAGGATCCTTGAGAACTTGTGTGAATGCAGCTGAGGCCGCCGATGTAAGCGTTGTGACGAGGAATACTTGCACTACTTGAAAGGCGAAGTAGGCATGTTGAACGAAGAGCTCGATCAGGGATAGAGATGGTACTCCAGCAAGTCTGGCGCATCCTGTACATAGATTGATTAGCAAGAAGATAGATACGACGCAGGTGAAGGGGGTTGGCCCACCTCTCAGGATCCATGGAACAATCGCCATGAGGAACGACAGCGCCAAGGCAGGCAGGAGACCGCTGATGATGCCAGTGACTGCATCGGGCAATTGCACAATCCACGATAAGAACGGGAAAGTTTCGGCAAGGAATTTAATGTTCGAGATCACACCGACGAACGCAGAAGGAACGGACCAGAAGATGATGGCGGTAGCGATGGCGGTTCGCATCAGGAACCCTCGAACGATACGCTCGAACCACTGCATCCTCAGAGAGCTCCAGACAATCTCGTCGGGCTTCATGCCGATATGACGTGGTGACATGTGCAGTGGTCGATTATGTGCGAGAGTCTGGCAGGCACGTTCGGCGTCGGCCTGGGAAGAGAACTCGACGAAGGCAGCAGGCAGTCGTCGACCTTCGCCTTTGAGGAACCCGCGACGGAGCTTGTTGATCTGCTTCGTCAAAGCCTTGATGCGGTTCCGAGTCCACTTGATGGTATCGACGCGACGGAAGAAGTTTGCCAACGGTCGGTGATAGGGGCGCTCGTCAGCGCCGATCCATTGTGCAGCAACTGAGCCATTCACATCTGGCAAGACAGTATTCTCGTGGTACGGGTAACCCTTCTCGGCATCGGCAGATTCTTCCGATCGCGAACTCGAAGTCGGACTTGACACGGTCTCAGGAGCCGTAACTCCTGCAGCTTTCAGTTGCTTGTTGCGACGCTGATTCGCCATCTTGATTAGGCGAATCTCTGCCTTTTCTAATCGTGCAGCCGTCTCGTCCCGCTCCTTCACAAGTCTCTCCAGGTCGCTCGTATCTCGAGGAATCCAGACATTCTTGACGGTGTCGCCAAAGACTTTTCGAAGGCGAGCAGCGTCCATGTACTTCGGGGGCACGCAGCTGAACAGGACTGTTCTGGATGACAGCCTTTTGGAATAGTATGGTGATAATAGATAGGCATGACGGAGGTTGATGTAGTATATGCACTCGCGATAGATGGTAAATAGGATAAATCCTGGCGCAGTTGTTAGGATACGATTGTGCTTAGTAGGGTCTTGGAACTGACCGAAGAAGATCCACGCGATGATGGCATGTGCGAAGAATATGTGCGAGTTTTTGATGTTACCGATTGTGATGCGATCCAGCTGCGTGAGACCACCACCTCCACTGGCATGAATGGACATCAATGTTGGCCATGTGATGCAGCAGCCAACGAAGCATATCAAAGCGAGGACCTTGAGGTAGCGCAGGAACAGGAAAGCATCCAGCGTTGATCGATTCAGGATGGCGGTGTCGGGTTCCCTCCAGAAGGGTTTGACCCAGTCCAACCAACCCTTGGGCAGGGGTATGCTTTGTTCACTACGAACATGTCAGTTGCGATGTCAACATAGGGACATGAAGGGTTCGTACTGCGAAAAGAGACTCCTTAGAATAGTCCGCGGCGAGTAGACGCGATGGCTTCTGCGTCGCAGGATCCAGAAGACGAGGATACAGACGACAGCGTAGATGAGAACGGGCACGAGCGTGCTGACAAGCGACATCAACGATGACGAGTCAGAGCCGTCAATCTGGAGTTTGCTGAGGGTTCCGCCCGTGGAGTTGTCCCGGGCGGATCCCACTCGGCCATCACCTGACGAGCCATCGACGGAGGGCTGTTTGCGGTCAGTCGGAAGCCGGGCCGGGGGGATCGTGCATCCAGGTGTCTTACAATGTTCATCGCGGCGGTGCTCCCACAACATGTCTCTCGTGGAAGAGTCTGCCCAGCAGGTACCAACGCGGCGGCGCAGTCGGATTGATATGTCCGCTGATGTCGATGTCGTCAACGTCGCGGCCCGGTAGATGCTAACGGATGCTGTCAGACGAACGGAAATTTGGCGGGGGCATTCGCCTCGTTAAAATCGGCAGAGGACCCCCGCGTCCTTGCAGCTCTTAGCGTGGAGGGTGGTCGAATTGGATCATTGACGGTGGCTGGCCGTTGCAGGTTGCGGCCGCCTTTGTTGGCCTCGAGGCGTGTCAAAACCCACAATCCGAATGGCGTGGTCGTTCGCTACGATCACTGATGTCGGCTAGCACCGAGGAGGGCGGGAGGACAATAGGCGTCCACGTCTTATCGCTACTGGATACGTTCGGACGACCTGAAGTGATTGATGCGCGATGACAGGCGGGTGGACGTTTGGCAGGCGGAAAAAGGAAAAGAGTCGAGATGATGACAGGGGATACGCTAGCCCCGTTTCGATAGTAGACTCGCGTAAGGTATGGGTCTGGACCCGCCGACGGGGGTCCACATGGCAAACCGAGCCACCCATTGGCTCCCTCCCGCTTGGCGTCATATCAAACCTTACATAAGCATTCTCTTGGACATGATATCAGGGTCTTGGCCAATGACAGTCCTCTGCTGGAGGATTGACTTTCTGACTAAGGACAGCCGATTCAGGGGTCTTGCCAGTTGCAGCCAGTCGGTGTGTGATGTCTCGCGCAATGCCGAGCCAAGACACCAGCTAATTCCTCAAGGCGCGTCAACTTCAAAGGAACAAAAAGAAATGCTGCCCACTTATCGGAAGAAATGCTCGAGGGCGAGGAAAAATCAGGTTTCCTCAACGAGCTAGAGAGAACTCCCCCACAGAGGCTGAAATCTAACCAATGTGGAAGCTCGGTGTTTCCGGACGCAGCTCCGATTTCGAGGGGATCGCCAAAGATTTTCCCAGATTTCAGCTGCAGTCTTCAGCCGCCTTTTCCCCTTCGAGGAACCCCAACAACGTCTTTCGATAGTCTAGACCATCTCCTTCCTTCGTCCATCCTTGAAAAGTCCGAGCTCATCGCACCCCGCCTGTGTTGGGCATGCCAAGTCCCAGCCTGGGGGGACTTTGTCACGTCGATCGGGTGCGCGGCTGACATGGAGATGGATGCCTGAAGACTTATCTGATGCAACGTGAGCTTCGAGGTGGAATCTCGGACTCGCATCAACTGTGTGAAAAGGGCATAAACCTCTTGGAAAATGAAAGAGTAGGTCATTTCCCACGATATCCCGACACCAGAGAGGGCAAAATTCGACGGCGGCGGGGCCTGTTGTCCACTTGCGATGCTTCTCTGCCAACCCGAAAAAATAGCTAGTGAGGGTAAAATGATCGGTTCGGAATCGGGGTATCGGCAATGGGTTCCCCTAGTACCGTTTTGTGGTGGATCACGGCTAGCTCTAGACCGGAATGCGTTAATACAAACGGCGAAAAGCCGATCGTGTGGCCAAGATGCCTTCCTAGACGCGTCTGTTTTTGGACTTGAGAGGCTAGACCAAGAAGACATTTCCGAGGACTCAGTGCAGAGCGGAGCACAGGGGTCAACAAGCTGTGCAACGTTGTAGGTGCGCGGTTTGGACTCGAAAGTTACGACTCCATTGGGATAGAGTTTTGAATGATAAACAAGATGTGGTAAATATCAGTCATCAGAATTTCAGAGAGTAACAGCCATCAACCGAGAGAGGAATGAAGCGCCATTAAAGCCACGTTGACGACGCAAACTAGCAGGCAATGGGGAAGAAAGACAGGGAAACTTGGTATAAGAAACTCCCGGATCTTGCAATTCTATTGGTCCTTGTGACAGAGCTGTGAAGCTATCTAATAATGAGCAATCTTTCAAACAGACAACTAATCCGCAATCCACCCCTTCTATCATACCATCGCAACAATGTCGGCGTTCTTCAAGAGTGTTTACCGAAGAATCAAACTACTTGTACCTTCTCCTTAAAGTAACTCGGACGGCCATCCTCATAAATAATCTCCATGTTCTCGTCCTTTTTGAAGTCGCCCATTGGGGCACTCGTCCACTCGCCATCCGCCATCAGTGCAACGCTGCAATGCCACGGGGTCGTGAACCCGGTCTTGGTGTTGAGCAGGCTCATCGAAACCTTGTGCTCGCCGGTGGACTGGTGGATGGAGAGACGCAGGTAATTGGGGAACGCATCCTTGACGGCGCCAGCGAAAGCCTACGATGGATCAATGGACCAGTCCAGCCACTTTCTGCAGGAGATAAAGAAGTGTGCTTACATATCCTCGGATCAGCATTTGCTTGGCCAGGAACTTCACGTCCCGCTTGTAGCCGTTGGTGGTTCGGCCCTTGCCGGTGGGGAACACATGCTGCAGGTCAGATTCCAAGAATCGGCAATAACCGCGATAGGTCATCAGCGTGTCGGGGTTCTTTGCGATTTCTTGGTCAATGTCGAGGTCGTCCTTGCCGTACTTGTTCAGGAGATAGCGGCGGAAGTTGGTGGCGTTGGCAACGTAGCGGATCTCCTCAAGTCTGTCTGGCATCGGGAAGTTCATTAGGTCCCGAAGCCTGGAGAAGCCGATGTAGGTGAACCCCTTTTCCACTGCCATGGCCCGCAGAGCTTCGCCGTAAGCCCAGGTGTCGCGATCCGGGATGCTCAGCAAATCTGCCACCAAACTCATCAGTTTCACAGACGACAAGGCCAATCATCAGTAGAGTTGACCAACCGTTGTAGACGAGACCGTCAGAGATAATAGTCAGCTTAGCTCCTGGGGCGTAGATTTCACCAATGCGGATGCACATAGTGTTCAAGCGCTCAAGAGCCAGTTCTTCGGCTTTATCGGGAAGATTGCCGAGGACCTTGTAGACCTTGTTTGCCGACTTGAAGGGAAACGCTGGAAGACACATGTCTACTTGCTTCCCAGCCGCGACGAACTGCTCGATGACTCTGACGAACTTGGGCACACCAGCAGTGAGCCTGTCCATCGTGTCGTCAAACTTGTTGAGGGCATACTCGAAGATGATGGCCAAAATCTTCTTGGAAGTCTCGGTCATCTCTTCGGTCACCTCCAACCCAGGCTGAGGGGCACGAGGGAGCTTGGACTCATCCAGGGTGGACCTGGTGATGGGGCTCTGGATGCTACCAAGGAGATGCATGGTGAAAGCAGATGGTAAAGAACTTGATAGAGAAGAGAAAGAGTTTGCTCGAGATGAACTGGTGTTTGGCCTGTCGATGTCTTCTGAATTTGGTCTCGGTTAAGAGCAGGGCTTGCTAGATATACAGATCCACGTGGATTTGAAGAGCCTTCGGATAGATGCTGCAGTTTCCAGATACCCGAGAATGCCGTCCCAAAACATAGCCAAACACCCAAGCAGCCTTAGAAGGCGCGTTTCACCATTGCAACCTTTGGCAACTACATCGAATGTTCATGATCAGTAAGACAGGATCAAGACTGCATACGGAACAGTCTGCGCCTCCCATACGCCATCACTATGGTGTGCCCACCACTGGACATGAGCGAAAGTTGGCCGTGGGGGCATGGTGAGATTCCCGACTCCGCCAAGCCGGTGCCTCATGTGGGCGCGGCACAAACCGACTTGGGCGTCAGCCCGCCTGCGGCTCAAAAGTCTGTTCTTGTTGCACTTCCAAGGACGACGACTCCACTTTTAGGACCCATTCTGGCTGTACGATGCTTCTAATGCTGCGTTCGGCATGCAAATTCTGAGATGAGACGAACATCATCTCAGCTTACACGGGCTTTGCCGGCGGGATTTCCAAGCTGTTGTGCCTCTGCCCAGCTGTTGTGTGGACGGAAGAACTAGCACAAGTCCATCCTTTGATCCGCTCGCATCCGGAGCAGTGATGTGCGATTAGAAATGAACGGTGAAGGGTTGGAGACATTTTTGTACGTCGAACGAGGTAAGCTTACTATGCGTCATGGATGAGGAACCATAGAGATAGGCGGAGGCAGTGTTGGTACGGACTTTGTGTAGCCTCACTCGCCTTTCGGGGTTCCAGTAGCCGTCCTAGCAGATACTAGTTTGGGAGAGGTTGGATAGTATCATTTACAAGCAATTCCCATATCATTCACTCTCTCCCGTGTCTATCTGGATGAGTTAGCTCTTCAAAATACTCTTCGAACCAAGTTGAGTCTTCGCCACTTCAACTTTATCTCTTCATCTTTGACCACAATGGCAATCCCAAAGAACGTTGGCAAGAGGCTTATCCCTCAAATTCTTGATGATTTGGCTGCATCTGAGCCAGATCGTCTTGTATTTTCGATGGCAATGTCCTCAGACATCAGTCAAGGCTTTCATGACGTTTCTGCTTGTCAATTCGCTCAAGCTGTTGACAAGACGGCTTGGTGGCTTCACAAACAAGTTGGAAACACCGGAGAGATCCAATCTGTCGGTTACATCGGACCTCGTAACTGCTGATCTCCCAGAACCGTGTTGCTTTTGACTAATGCCTGTCAGATGATCTCCGCCACATTCTGTTGACATATGCCTGCGTCAAGGCCAACTGCACCGTACGTCAGACTGCGTGAATGGACACTGTCAAGTAACTTACACCGTTGGGGGTGACCAGGCATTATTCCTGTCCGCAAAGAACAGCACCGAGGGGGCTCTTGCTGTCCTGCAAGCGGCCAAATGCAACATCTGGGTAAAGCCTCATGGGTCGAGCTACCCTCTTGTTGACGATCTCCTGCAACAGCGGGACATGCAGGTCCTCGACTTGCCCGAGCTTGATGAACTACTTGATGCGGAAGGTACTGAGCCATACCCCTTTTACAAGACTTTCGACGAGGCGAGCCAAGAGCCTTTCTGCCTTCTCCACACATCGGGTTCAACGGGGTTGCCGAAGCCCATTGTCTGGTCTCACGCCCTGATCGGAACAATGGATGCCGTCCGGCTCCTACCACCAACAGAAGGAGACGGCGGTATGGCCCCGTGGACAGACAACTGGAACGATGGTGACAGGATCTACTCCTCATTTCCCATGAGTCATGTTAGTGCTTCCTCTCAAAGTCAATGCGATCCACGTGCTTACCAAACCTACTCAGGGAGCTGGTATCATTATGGATATTCTCTTGCCCTCGCTCTTCAATCTTCACTGCATTTTGGGACCGCCTGGTGTCATACCCAACATGAACCTCATAGACTTCCTTGCAGAACACGCAAAGATCGATATCTGGAGCATGGTGCCCTCGCTGGTGGATGAGCTTGGAGAAACCCCAGACGTCTTGCCGAAGCTTCGGTCTTCCAAGTTCATCTGTGCATCCGGTGGTGAGTACATGATAATGAATCCTTCAAGTAGACGATTGTAAGCTGACGCAGTCATGGCTCAGGTCCTGTCAGTCCCGTCAGCGCGTCCAAAGTCAACAAGGTCATCCGAGTCCTGAACCTCACAGGCACAACAGAAGGTCTCTTCATTGGGAATCTCTGGGTGGGCAGAGAAGATTGGCTCTACTTTGCATTCCATCCTTTCTCGGGCTTCGAATTCAAGGAAGTCGAACCCGGCGTCTTTGAGCATTGGGTCCATCGAAACGAACATGGCCCGTTGTTCCAAGGGATCTTCCATACGTTTCCCGACCAGAAGAGTATCAATCTGAAGGATTTGTACACGCAACATCCGACCAAGCCAAGTCTCTGGGCGTACAAGGGGAGAAATGACGACGTTGTCGTTCTCTCCAATGGGTACAAGATTTCTCCCTTAGACACGGAGGCACTGGTCACGACCCACCCTGCTGTTGAAGGCTGCATCATGGTAAGCAAGCTTTGCATCAAATTATTGGTTGTTGTCAGCACTTAGGATTCATATCTGACACTGTCGCAGATCGGTTCAAGTAAACCTCAGGCAGGTCTTCTAATCGAGCTGAAGGATCCATCTTCAAAGACGACCGAACTTCTGGACAGCATCTGGGCTACTGTAGAGCGAGCCAACTTACTCTCTATGCACAAGAACCAGCTTCAGAAAGACTACATCACCTTCGCTGAACCAGAAAAACCGTTCATTCGTACCGACAAGCGAACTATCAAACGACGTGCTACGCTAGAGCTCTACGCCAACTACATCGAGCGCTTCTATGATTCACGCTTGGAAGAGGAAGATTCGCAGGTTAATGCCATCGACACCAGCTCTGTGGTGTCTATCACTCAAGCGATCAGGCAGATCTTCGGCTCTCTTTCGCCAACCCTCAAGAACGCGTCGCCCGATGCAGATGTTTTTAGCGTGGGCCTAGACTCGCTCCTTGTATTCCGAGCCGTCAAGATCATCCGTGTAGCTACTGGGCTACAAGACAAGCTTTCGCCTCGGCATCTATACGCTAGCCCTACGCTCGGCAAATTTGCTGCCACGATCTCGAAGTTGGTGGCTGAGAAAAAGCATGCAGCGGGCAAGAATGCCTCCGCATCAGACGAGGGTTTAGACCCTACTGTGGTCAAAATGAGGAAGATGATGAACGCCCACAAGTCGCGCCTATCGCCCAAAGTCAACCCATTTGACTTGATGAACCCCAACATCTACGTGGGCATGAAGTTCTACATACCGCTGCGCGAAGACGCACGGTGCGAAGATGTCTTCAACAGGCTGCACGATGGGCTTTACAGGACTCTTGAACTCATTCCAGAACTTGAAGGCAAGGTCATGCGCTGCTCGCCGCATGAAACGGGCTACAAGAACGGCGATCTTCGCATCACCTTACCCCTGATTCCGTCAACCGCGACTCCTGAAGCCAACTTCAAGAACTCCCCGCTCAGGCAGCTGCGCTACAAGGATCTCTCCAATGTGCTTCCTTCCTTCGAAGAATTGAGATCTGCCGGCTTTGTAGCGTCGGCCTTCCGCGACGAAGTCGTCATCGACTGCCCTTGGTTTCCGACGCTCCCGGCTGAGGTTCTTGTCGCGCAGGCAAACTTCATCAAGGGTGGGTGTATTCTCGCCATTAACATCCACCATGCCGCAGTCGATGGGATGGGCGCAATCACAGCCCTGAGAGTCTGGGCCGAGAGCTGCAGATATGTTCAGGGTGACATGTCAGCCACTTGCGACTGGCTTGATCCTGAGAGCCTCAACAGGAGCCTGCCTCACATCCTCTACGAACTCGAAGGCTATGCCAAGCCTGCACACGAGGTGGACCCTAACGTCTGGGGGTTCTTAGGATTCCCAGATCCTGCAGAGCTTCAGAACGGAAATGGTCCGGTGAAGGTGGCAGCGCGTCTCACGGAGTCTACATTCCCCACACCACCCCCATTCCCCCGCAAGTTTGCCTGGCCACCCGTTCCTCCGGCTGATGGTCGCCATATGAAGCCCACCACGTTTCTCGTTTCGAGCGAAAATGTGGAGAGGCTTCGACAGATGGTGCTTGCTGACCCGGAGGCCAAGGGGGCTGTGACATCCATCAGCGACGTTATCCAGGCCTTCTTCTGGCGGGCTGCGATCAAGGCCCGTTACCGTGTTGCCAAGGAGATACATGGCGGAGAATTCGGGCCAAAAGACAATGCGATTGTGGAGATGCCCATCGATGCTCGCCCCTATTTCTCCTCTCTGCTGCCTTCATCTTTCATGGGCAGCTGCTTGGTGACCAACCGACCCTACATGCCGGTCGAAGAGCTTTGCTCACCGAAGACGAGCCTCGGACGTATTGCTTACCTCTTCCGCGAGGCAGCCACTCACATCAATCCCTCCCTGGTTCATGACGCCTTCACTCTTCTCCAGTCTGTGCCCGACTACGGTATGCTTACCAACGCTTGCATGGGGTTGGCGGGGATGCACTGCATGATGAACAACCTGATGCTCTTCCAGACGACCGAAATTTCGTTCGGCGATGAGTTCTTTGAGAACCAGGGCACACCTGACACCATGAGGATTCTGATGGACCGGTTCAACACGGCTTTCAGGCTGCTGCTTATCCACCCTATGCGTGATGATGGTTCTGTGGAGCTATTGCTGGGCACGCTCCCCGAAGAGTTCGAAATGTTGACAGCCGACGAAGAGTTTACCAAGTACGCCGCTTTTCTTGGTTAGTCACTGAGGCGGTTGAGATACTTCTTGTTCCGTCCATTGGGGTCACATAGAATCACGTTACATTAGACCATGAAAAAAGCACCTTGCGTCATAATAGACTGAGATACTTCTTGCGCCGATTGTTCACAAATGGGGTGTTTTGTGGAATCTTTGGTGGCAGTGAATACCTTATACAAGCCCTAGACAATAGATTCTTTCTGCTACGTCGGACTATGGGTCATATTGCCCTTCAAAGTAGGTAGTCGTTTTCAGCCTTACCTAGATACCTCATCTGATCGTGGGATGTTTCTTGGCCAGATTTCATGTGATGTACCCATGCAGGCCGACATTCCATTCTGAAGCATGCTTCGTTTGCCACAGTGTTGCACATGCTGTTACCCAAAATCATCACTAGCGCTGCTGTGTTGAGCAAATTTGAGGCTGTAAGCATTACAGCCTACCTGATAGGATTGTATCATTCTCTGCTCCGAAGCCCTTGGCGCATGTTGTGGATCAAAATCTTACATTTTCTCAGGGAATTTGTGGTCGAAGCCTGTGTGTTCGCCGATTGGGGTAATGCAGAATCCTGGCTCACTCCCCCACGCCGTGCCGACGGCCGGACTAACCGGGACGAACCCGTGCTGACCCCATTGCAGCGGTTCGGTCCTGAACCACATTTTCCATGTTGTGGATCAGGTCCCGTCATCTTCATCCCTGCTCGGCAACCTTCGTTCACACCACACTTTGGATCCTGCCGAAATACCGTAAGCGTCAGCACGCATCGGTGAGCAGGTTTGAGCAAATCAACAATAGGATTGCAGAAACGAGGGCAGAGTCGCTGAAGGCTTTTGTACTGAGATTCGACGAAGACATTCATAATGATCCTGTTTCTGCCCCGTTCACCTTGTCTATGCCATCCTTCTGATCGTTAGAGCTTTTGCCAGCATGGATCAAGGAAAGGACCCACAGGGTGTGCCATCGCCATCGCTGTCGCCCCCAAGCACAACAACCGACAAGACCGACACACGTATCAGCACAACAGCTTACATCAATGACGCTTCTTCGGGGTCTGACACCGACCAGCCTGAGGCTCAGACCGGTGTGCAGAACATAGAAGCTGTAACTTCGACATGGACGACATCCTCCTTGGTCATCGCTTATGTGATGATCTGGGTCATCTACTTCGTCATGCTCATGCAGCAGGGTGCCCTAACCGCCCTTACACCTTTTGTTACATCCGCCTTTCGACAGCACTCCTTGACGCCAACCGTCGCCGTCATCAGTGGCATCATCGGCGGAGTCTTCAAGCTTACCCTCGCCAAGATCCTGGATGTTTTCGGACGACCGCAGGGCTACCTCCTATCCATCTTCATAGCCACCCTCGGACTGGTGATGATGGCTGCCTGCAACAGTGTGGAGACTTATGCAGCTGCCCAAGTCTTTTACGCAGTTGGTCAGAACGCACTGCTGTACAGCATTTCTATCTTTGTTGCAGATACTTCATCTTTGCGGAATAGGGGACTTATGCTGGCTTTCACTTCCTCGCCAAACCTCATCACCACATGGCTCTCCGGCCCGATTTCCCAAGCCTACCTCACAGGACCAGGGTGGCGATGGGCATTTGGCACTTTCTCGATTGTCGTACCTCTGTTCACGCTTCCCCTCTTCGGACTCTTTGCGTACAATCTCACCAAAGCCAAGAGACTGGGAGTAATCTCCAAGCGCACCAGTCAGCGGACTACGTTGGAATCCTTATCCTATTACTGCCGAGAATTTGATGCTGTAGGACTTTTCCTCATGTCAGCTGGCTTGGCATTGTTCCTTCTGCCCTTCAACATCTACTCCATGCAGGAGGAAGGATGGCGATCTCCACTCATCATCTTCCTCCTGGTCTTTGGTGTTGTTCTTCTCATAGCATTTGTCATATGGGAGAGAGCGTTTGCCCCCATCACGTTTATCCCCTATTCTCTACTATTGGACCGAACCGTCATCGGTGCATGTGGCCTCTCAGCCGTTTTGTTCACCAGTTACTTCATCTGGAACAGCTTCTTCAGTTCCTTCCTTATGGTTGTCAATAATCTCGATGTCACCAAAGCCAGTTACGTCTACAACATCTACGCTGTCGGCAACACACTTTGGGGGCTTGTCGTAGGGTGGATAGTACACCGAACCGGTCGCTTCAAGATCATCTCCCTTTGGTTCGCCATTCCGTTACACATATTCGGAATGGGTCTTATGATTTACTTCCGTCAGCCTGATCAAAACGTCGGCTTCGTTATCTTATGTCAGATACTCACCGCCATCGCCGGGGGTACCATCATCATCACAGCAGGGCTGGCTGCGATGGCGGCCGCTTCACACCAGCATGTGGCTGTCGTACTGGCCACCGAAGCCATGTTCGCTGAGATTGGCGGAGCCATTGGTCTGACTGTATCCGCTGCAATTTGGCAGGATGTGTTCGCTAAGAAGCTGATGGAGAACCTGCCGACGGAAGAGCTGGCCAATTTCGTGCCAATCTATTCGGACCTCGCCACGCAATTGATGTACCCAGTGGGCTCTGCTACTCGTAAAGCCCTCCAGTTGGCGTATGGTGAAGCTCAAAAAATGATGTTGATTGCCGCTACTGCCATCTGGGTGGTAGGCTTTGTGGCGACTTTTGCTTGGCGGGATATTAATGTCAAGACTCTGAAGCAAGTCAAGGGGCATGTAGTATAGTAGTTCGATTTGCTACATAGTTGAGAGCATCTGTAAAGATCGCCCGATTGCTGCCCTCGTCCAGTGGAGCTTTCATTATTGAGATCTGAATTCAGACTGAGGATTCTATTTCCTTCTCGATCAGGCGCCAGGTCTTCTCAGACACCAACATCTGTGCGAGATAGTTGCCACCATGGTCCTTGCCCTGTATATAGATCAGACACGGTGGGTGCATCTTCATCTTCGGAGTGTTGCACTGCCACACGATCTTGCCTCTCGGCGTTGTCCGAATCTCATGACTGCCACCGTCTTTGATAGCTGGACTGAAGTCAATGACTTCATGGAATCTCGCCTTGGACACATTAGACACGGAGACCACAAAGCCGTTTGGCTCAGTAAACTGCTTCGTGCTGCCACTCTCTGCAACGGCGTTGTAAGTGAGCCGAGTCGAGGCGTAAACCTGCGCATCTGTGAGCTGCGACCTCACTGAGTTCCGAACTAGTGCCACAGCCCTGCCGAATGTTCCGCGAAGGAGCTCAAGGGCGTTCGTATTGGTCCAGTTGTAAGCAACAACATTCGAGACGTAAGCGAAGTTTGGGGGCATATCGTTTTCATGAAGACGGCCTCGGAGGTCCAGGGCTGTAGAAATAGATATGGGCTTCGAGGTATCCTTTTCGCTTATGTGGGAGCATGCGAGACGCGACAGCCATGCTGTCAGGATATCCCCATCACTCAAACGCTCCGTTGCCTGTCCGTCCTTCTCAAGATCCTCTTCGGCACGCTTACGCAGCTTTGCCAAATAAGCAGCTGGGATAAAGAGATTCCTCTGGCGGATACGATTCCTGATCAAATACCACAGAATACCAAAGGTGAACCGGACCACCCCCCAGCCTTGAAGACGCTTATGCTCCCATGTAAATGGCTCATCATAACGCGGAGGAGATGCTTTCGCAACTTTAGCCATGGGATCTAAGGTTGGAAAAGCCATTGGTGTAACATCAGACCTACGACCGGCCAAGATGCGACACCAATTTTCGACAAGTTCGCGTCGGCCCATGCCGTCCGTGACGCTGTGAGGATAGGTGATTGTCACAAACGTTGCATCAGTGAATGTGATGACGTGGAGTGATAAGGCAGGCCGGTCTGTGAAGTTATAGTCGTCGAATGATTTGGCTGCTTCTGGCCCAGCAAGAATGGAATGCAAGTTCTCTGGAGTGTCGATGATCCTCGGCCTTTCTGTTGTCTGGGAGAAATACGAGGGGATAGTAGAAGAGAGTGGGTGAAGCTTCACGCTTGCGGGGTTTGGCTCGGTAGTGAAGTGAACTGCTGGGCGAGATGGAGTGAAAACGTCCGGAATGTGAAGCTCAATTTTGCCATCCTTCTGAGCGTGTGTCAGTGGTCTGGTTGAACTGAGAGACTCGAGACCTACCGTCAACCGAGGCCGACCACCAAGTTTCTTCCAATGTCCGATGTTCAAAAGCTCGGTAAGCGAATCGTGAAGCTTATCAGCGTCAAGGACATCGTGAAAACACATCGACCAGCTCATGATCATCATACGCATCATCCACGAGCTATCCATCGCCGACAGCTGGAATACCGTGTCCGTCGGAACGCGGTCCGGCTGCCGACGCTCCGGGCCCAACACTGGGTTGAGCAAAGATCGCACTCCCATCTCGACAACTTGGCTGCAACTACCACCAGAGGCTCTGACGTCGCGTTGACTGGCGGGGTTTTGACTATTGCTGTGCACGAGAGAGGAGTCAAGTAATATTCTGGCGTTGACAAGAAATTGCGGCTTCTCAACTGGTCCGAAAAACGACATTTCTCCAGCCAGGGGTTGCCCTGTCGGTCAGAAGCTTGTCATGGAGGCATCCGACGCATTGGGCGCGGACGTGACTGGGAATGACTCGTGGAACGGTGGCAGTTGAGATAAGGCGAAACTCTAATAAATGGGCGTGGGTCCTACAGATGAGCGATATCGAAACGTGACGAGAACCCGGCGACGATGACGCTTGTAGGCGGTGAAAAGCCGAGGGTAGATCAGGGGTCCCGTTCGTGCCAAGTGAACTCTATGAACTTCGTCTGAACTTTCCCCTAAGCTATCGATATTCTTCTGTAGCTACAGATCGCCAAGTCATCATGTCTCTCACGATTGAGCCTCTTCATCCTACATTCGCGGCGAGGGTATTGGGTGTAGACTTCTCAAAGCCGATTCCAGTCCAAACATTGGAGGCGATAAAGGCCGCAATTGCAAAGGTGACTTAGAACTTTGCTCAGTCTCGAGAGGAATTTCGCTGAAACTCCGTGGACAGTATGGCGTCTTGGTATTCCCGGCAACAGGACTGGACGACGAAAGGCACGTCGCGTTCGCTGAACACTTTGGCGGGCTTGAGCGGCGAAAGGACACTGGGGCTCAGTCCCGGCTGAAGATGCCTGAGTTGACTGACCAAGGTAATATTGACGCAAGTGGCAACATCATCGGCTCAGCAGATCCCAGAGCGCAAATCAGCAAGGTAAGCAATGAATCCGTTCAAGCTCTTCTGCTTCCTGATGAATGCTTTGCTTATGACACGCGTAGGGAAATACATTGTTCCACGTCGACAGCAGCTTCAATGCCCATCGAGCAAGCTATTCTATTCTTTTGGCACATGAAATCCCACCCAAAGGAGCCGGTGGCAACACCGACTATGCCGATACACGAACTGCCTGGGACGACCTTCCGGAGTCCTGGAAGGAAGAGCTTCTCAGTAAGAACTACATTGCGAACCACTCCTTTTGGCACTCGCGTAAGACAGCGTGCCCCGAGTTCTTCGCTAAGCTCACGCCGGGGAACCACCCCATGAGCAAGCATAAAATTGCCCAACTGCACGAACCCAGCGGACGAATAAATCTCTTCGTTCCATCGCACTGTCACCACATTGATGGTCTGTCCGAGGATGAGGGGAGAGAGAAATTGGATTTCTTGTACAAGCATGTCACGCAGGAGAAGTACGTAGTGTCTATTCCATGGACGGAAGTAGGGGATCTAGTGATGTGGGATAACACCTGCACACTACACAGGGGCACGCCAGTTGTTGGCAGCCATAAACGGGACATGCGAAGGGCGACTGTGTTGGACAGCGGCGCCGAGGCTTGGGGGCTGAATGAGAAAGTGGAGAGGGATTTCGCATTTGCTCCCGAAGTAATGGCGGATGTTTTTCGCTCTCTGTCTAGCTAAAATCTAAGTACATCGGAATATTTATAGACTAAAATGCTACCTGGCGAGAATCTAGTTGGAGGAATACTTTAATGTCGGGGTTAGCGGACAACCATGGGCTGGAGACTCAATTTCTTGGGTTCCAAATCCAGCCTTGATCATGTGCACCGAAACAACTCTCTGCGAATGGATCACCAAATTCTGCTAGGCTACCTCCAAGTACGCCATTCGGATCGTAGCTCATGGCTGTGGTGTATGTGAGCGAATGCACGCTAAAGAAATGCGTATAGGCTTACCTTGTTCAAAATCAAGAAGAGCTTGAGTCACCAGAGGGTCCTCGCAGAATCCAAGATCTGAACGAGCCATTTGTGCTGAGTCTTCCGGAATGTCGGGTCTTGAGTCACTCATTAAATCGTCCTGAGATGTCCCCTGGAAATCTGTAGAGGGGAGGCTTTCTCCAGCGCCTGTGGCAGAATTACTCTGGGTTGCTACTTCAATTGAGCTAGATGTCCGCTGAGTCGAATCTGAGCTGCGTCCGTGGTGTTTATCTGCCGGGCCCTCAAACTGAAGCATCCTTTCGGTTTCCTTTGACATTACAAGGGTCATCAGTCTCTTGAGAATTTCGAAACCTTGCTCGGCGACGATAGACTTGGCCTTCAGTTGAGAGTGCATTGAAACTAGTTGCCGAAGGCCCATCTTTGACTCGAAAGACTCTCGACTCAGCGGTTCGAGGCTGGTTAGTATCGATAGAGCTACCCCGGCTGTGAACAGATGTAAAGCCACGAATGATACAGCATATGTACCAGCGACCTCGTTGAATTCCGAAGTGGACCCAACCTGAGCTATCTGCAGAGCGGCGTCGCGGCATGCTTGAACAGCTGAGCGGAGAGGTTGAGCATTACGAGAATGTCCCGCGATAGCCATCGTCTTGTAGGAAAGAAGAGGTCGATGCACCAGAATTCTCGCGTTCTCAAAAGCGAGTTTGAGAGAAAGCGATTGGACTCCAAACAGTTGGAGTCGTTTGGTTTGGCTAGGAAAGCTACTTCTTAAGCTTTCTGGTATCCCGCCAACGAGGCTCTCTGTTTGTGACTTGGAGATTGCGCCGCCCAATAGAAGTTCCATAGGAAGATGGTCCCGCCATGTCTTAAGCCTGCCATCCAGTTCGGCAATCGTACTGATCAAAAGCTGCAGGTCAGACCCGCTGGCATTATCCATCTGGTCTTTCTCTCGCAGTCTTCGCTGTGTTCCGTAAAGGCGAGAAAGAGCAGATTTGACAATTATAGTCAATTCAGCCATAGCTCGTTTGAATGATAAGAGTGTCGCTTTACCTGCTGCTTTCCATTCGTTGGATTTCCAAGACGGGTCCTTCGATCTCAAAGGATATGGATCAGGTAACTCCACGTCACAATCTTCATCAACTATACTCAAGGGAAACCCGTATAGCATAGAACAGATAGTCTCGGTCTCGTAGATTGACCACCAGCACCGCCTTTTGGTCTCAATAGCCCTGGTCACTGGGTCATCGAAATCGGGTACTCCGGATCGTTGATCAGCTGCAGTTCGATGTAGGTTGAGGGCCTGAGCAATTCGCAAGCCACAGCCGCATATCGGCCAGGCCAACTCGGGTTCTCCATGGTATAAGTGAAAGCACCCCAAGAGGATGCAAGTCTGCACCGCCTCGATCGACCCGGAAGAGACATAATCGAGCAGCTTCAGTCTCAGTATGGACAGTATCTGTTCTTGCAGTGATGCTGAATCAACGCCTAAACTTACCAGCTCAGACCGTTTCTCGTCGCTCAAATACGGTAGGCTAGTAAGGCATACGCCAAGAACGAGACTGACGAAACTGATGCTTGCTCCTTTAATCCCGTCATTGCGAGAAATACCGTTGAAAAGGCTTTCAAAACGCTCCTTGAATTCGTCTTGAAAGAAGATCAGAAAACACCAATGGATCTTGTCGAAGTAATTGTCAATCAGCAGCTTTGCGACCTGTTTCTTGGGTAAGGTCAACACCAGAGCACGCTCGGCGTCGCTTGACCTCTTGCTTCGATGTAGCCTCGATTGGCAGAGCCCAGGAGTATGTGGGCTGGGTCTCAGTGGTACACCGTTTTCTGCTCGCGAAGAGCTTGTGGCAATGCTTCTAGCTGACCATTGGTTCGCAGCAAACGCAGACGTGTCGGCCTCTCCCGGTGTTGTCGCATCTTGACGTTGGAAAGCCTTTCAGCACGTGTCAGCTTCCGCCATGAGCACAGCACCGATTGAAATCAATACCTCATCCATGAAAGTCATTGCTGCAGAGTTCGATGGCCATGATCGCCTACTCCTCTCCACCGGTGTTACCTGCGGGACAGGGGAATCTGCTCCGATGTAAGGACCATCATCTTCCAAAGGTGAAGAAGCCGTCCGCGATGCAGCAATAATGACCGCTTCAGGTGATGCGGGTGATGCAGGCTCCGCCGTATCATTTTCCCTGGTGACTGTTCGCCGACTGCGTTTTGTCCGCGGGAGACTTGCGGTGTCATCCTTGTCTCCGTCCGGTCTGCGGGGCCGGTTCCGGGTGAGTTGAGGGCCCTGGATTCTCCACCGATCGGTATCCTCATTGACACATTCCACTTCAGCTCTGACACAAAGGGTGCAAGGCCGTTGAACATCACACTTAAAACAACCATGTGGTCAGCTTGTTTCTCTTGTTCAGGGGCAGATCAAAAAATACCTTGAGCTTCTGCCGCCGACATCTTTGACAGGCTGCAGAAACCTTCTTGCGTTGGCGTCTTGCCGGTGGATTTTCTGACGCAGCATGCGGTTCCATTTGGATTTTCGGATGGCAATGTCAGTCAGAGGATTGCCTTGACGGGTGTAGAAAGGGATGAGGTTCCCACGGTGTTGAGGAGAAGAGACTTCCGCCGGAGCGCTCCGGGTAACGCTAGTCCGTTTCTGGTAATTCTACCCACCGGAACGGAGCAATCCCGATGTAAGACAGCCACAACTCATGCAAACTCATCAAGCTCCGCTGCAAATTTGGTGATGCTGATTCCATTCGTGTCGTCAGATGATATCATTATTTTATGTTCACAAGGAAAGCTCCAAAATTCTCCTAGTGAACAGCCTGTGGGTCGATATACTCGCATAGAGTCTTTGTCGACGGGACTCATTTTTCCAACAGTGAACAAAAGAGTACGACAAAAGGATCATGTGAGATCGGAGATCTAGTCAGTTGCTTGTATTCGGACCTTGAATTCTATGGTGACAACATAATGTGAGAATGCTTGAAGCAAAAGCTTTCTGTCCTCCTAATAACCTCCAGACGCTGCGTCGCTGATAGGCTTGAACTCCACAGTTGTCGGCTTGTCCGTGATACCTCTAGCAACAGCAGCTTCCATGATCGGAATCGTGGCAGTAGCCCCAATTCGCGTGACACCCAAAGACATGACATGGAGCAGGTCATCCAACGTTCGCACTCCTCCCGCCGCCTTGACTTGTACCTCCGGCTTCGAATGCTGCCTCATGAGCTTGAGATGCGGCACTGTTGCCCCAGCATAAGTGTACAGCCCATTGGGCTGCTTCACAAAGCCGTATCCCGTTGATGTCTTGACGAAGCCAACACCAATGTCCGAGCAAATCTCACACAACCGGATAATGTGCTTCTCCTGAAGATAGTCGTTCTCGAAAATGACTTTGAGAATGGCACCGTGCTTGACGACAGCTTCATTGATCTGGCGAATTTCCTTGGCGACATAGTCCCAATCGCCACCGAGAACCTTTCCGATGTTGACAACCATGTCAATTTCCTTTCCGCCATCGTGAGCGGCGCCCTCGGCTTCAAAGACCTTGACTTCAGTGGTGCTGTTGCCGTGAGGGAAGCCGATGACCGGGCAGACCAGCACGTTGCTGCCTTCAAGTTCGCTTTTGGCGAGGGGGATAAGGTAAGGCTTTACGCATGCTGTGGCGACATTGTACTTTTTGGCAATGCGAAGACCCTCCAGGATGTCGGTATCGGTCATGGTCGGGTGAAGGAGTGAGTGGTCAATCATCTTGGCCACCTGACCAAGGGTCACGGTGATTGTGTGTGAGGCTTCTGTGCTGCCCATCTTGTGTCGTATGCAATGGTCTTTCTTAATCAGGGCTGAGATATGTGGTCAGTGAAATAAGATTGAGTGAGATGGTTGTTTATTTATGACTGCATTTTCTCCCTGTATCCTGTTCCGCCAAGGTGAGGTTCGGAACGCATCTCCGGTGGAAGAGTTTCCCAATCGAGAAGATATCCCCGACTGAATATGATCCTAACATCGCTAGACGTATTAAATAGCCCGTCGGCACCAAAAGGTCACGGTAAAGGCTAAAGAGCAATAGGGCTCGGTTCGGCTGTCCAACGGTGAAAACCTTGCTCGGCACCTTCGATTTCGCTCGTCTCTGATACGTCGAAGTCTTGTAGCTCAAGTTCCTTCGCTTCCTCAATGTAATCACTCCATTTCGGTTGTGAGTGGGGTGTCAAAGAAGAAGATTCTTCCGCAAATGTACATTCCACAGTTCTCCACGGCTGGTAGTTGCGCATCATCGATCTAAGCATGAAGAAAAAATGCAGCTGGTGTGTATACTCTTCATCACCCGGTATGAATTTCGGATCGACTGCCCATACAACCTTTCTGAGGCTTTGAAAGCAAGTTCGAAGATCCCAGAACAAGTCAAAGGGGAGTTGCCGGTACTGAGAGGATCTTGGGGGGCCTGAGGATAAAACCAGTGTTTGTACTTTGCTGAGCCAAGTAGATGTAGTATCAGGGGTCTCTTTGAGCAATGAAATCTTCGCAAACGCCAGCTGAAGCCCTAAGAGAGGATGTGCTGGCGGAAACCACACATAGTCTGTGTCCCAGTTGATACGAGCAAGCTCGTAGTAAGGAGTATTGTACCATTGAGGGATTTCGAAGATCGGACGGACGATGTCTCTCACAATGTTTGCCTCTTTGCATATCTCGTCATCGCAGTACTGCTGGGGCTGGTAAGAAGAGTCGAAATGGAACTCAATGCGAGTCCATTCAAACCAGAGGCCTGGTTTGAATACCTGTTGCGTATCCCAGTGTATGGGGCGACTGTAATATTCTTTCCATACTTCATATCGGATATCGTATGGCAGCTGAGGGAAGAGATGAAATGTCGTTGGCGCCATGATGAAAGACAATGTGTGTGATGCTGTCCGCGAGTGAAGAGGTCTCTTTCCGAATGGGATGTCCTTTGTTTTATAGGGACTATTCTGTGTGAGTCACTACTCTGAACATTGTTCTATCACCTTGGGAGCTTCTGTACGTGCTTCATACCCTAATGGGTACAAACTCTCGCATCGGGCGAGTTATAATTGGTCGAGCGCTTGATGAGGACAGACAAATTTGAATCGTGGTTCCGTCAACAGTCCAAATATGTTGCCAGTACGGAACCATGACGGTATAGCAAACATTAGATACCTTCGCTGAAATCCAAAAAATTGTACTTCAAATCAAGTCTAATATCCGAAACGGTCCCCAGTTTATTTCAAAATTGTGCTCTTAAGGCAAATTTCAATAATAATAAGTCTAGAAAACGCGATGGGGATTCCATTCAAAACAAAAGACAATACGCAACTTCCAGGTACACTATTAAAAAAGGTATCGACGACCATCCCTATTCCCGCATTCCCGTAGTACATCGCCAAACGAATTTCTGAAGCTTTGCTCAGCACCTTCGATCTCGCTGACCTCTGATACTCCAGAGGTGTGAAGATCTAGTTGCTTAGCTTCCACAATATACTCACTCCATTCACGTGCTTCTTTTCGCCATGATGCAGAATGTCTTGGTGGATTGGCATCCAGTAGTTGGCATTCTACATGTTTCCATCGTGGGCGTTGACGGATCATCCATCTCAACAGAAAGTAGCACCACAGCTCTTGAATATACCCGCGAAACGTTCCACTTCTGACTGCCCATACAACCTTTCTCAAGCTAGTGAGGTAGGAACGGATACCCCAAAGCAGATAGTGCGGCAGGGTTTGGTTCTTGGTACTGCCGATAAAAGGAGCCTGAAGCACCAGGATTTGTACGTTGTTTAGCCAAGTGGGTTGAGAATCAAGCGACGCCCTCAGCGCGCCGTTGCAAGCGAAGGCAATTCCACGATAGTTGAATCGGGGCTTAAGCCAGACATAGTCGGTATTCCAGTTTACTCGGAAATGATCGTGGCTGACACATGCATGAGAAGTGCGCCATCGCCGGAATTTGAACACCGGCTGGACTATGTTTCGCACGATTTCCGCCTCTCTGCATATGATATCGTCGCTTTTCTCAGCCGGACACTGATTGTCTGACCAGTGGTAGTGACTCCACGCAAACCATAATTCGGGGTAAGGCTCGAAAGTCGCTCTCCAATCTTGGGGCTGGTGGTAATACTCTTTCCATATCATATATCGAATATCATAGGGGAGTTTAGGATACAAATGGAATATCGTTGGATGCATGATAAAAGACCGGTGTATTGAATTCTGTTTGCTCCGCAAATCCACATCAAAGCTTTGCAAAATGATAAAAGAACGAGCTTTATAAAATGCACAATCCTTCTCTTGTCGAGACCCTTGTTAATGCATCACCTTGATAGTGACTTCGAGTTCCTGTCAACACAATGGGGGCGGCCCGACCATGGATACCTGTACAACCCTGACCATCTACCCATCTGTGGAGTAAGGTAGAAAACTTATTTCTCCGCTCACTCATTTGCCCACAAAGATGCAGCGAAACTTAAGCCCGTTGATGCAGTAGTACCCTGAAATGCTACATCGTTCTTTCACTTTGTCTAGCGTCTCCTAGCCAACCCTAATCACTGTCTTGCCTAACCCTCCCTTCCCGTTGTATACTGTCCCACATGCAGCCTTGACTTCATCAACATCTTTGAGATTCACCGTGCATCCAACTACCGGCGTAATCATTCCCTCCTCCGCAAGCCCGGCCAGTGTCTTGAGATCCTTCGCGTTGGGGTCAAGGAACAAATACTCGTACGCCACGTCCCATCTTCGAGCCCGTGTCCTACGATACGTGTCGAAAAAATCCAAGAACAAGCGCCCGAACCACGGAAGTCGTGGATTATCAGGTCGTCTCATCACGCTCGACTGCTGAAGTTGGGTACCAGATGGCTGCGTTGAGATGGAGACGATAAGGCTGGTTGACGGAACCATGAGATGAAGAAAAGACATGGCTTCACCCGTCGTGTCCAAGATGAAGTCCACTGATGCGCGTGGAATCACCTTTGTCGGATCCTCCTTGGTATAATCAATCACTAAATGCTTGCTATTAGCCAGGAAACCGGAAAAAGGCTTGTCATGAAATACGCACCTTGATCGACTGTGCCCTCTCCCAACAGCTTGGGCACTTGGTCAACCTTTGAAGTCGAGACGGTGGTGATCACCTTGCCGGCATTGAAAACCTTCTTCGCCAGCTGGCAAGCATATGCTCCTGTACCACTCACTGTGAACCTGTCAGTGATTTGCTTAGGTTGATTGAGTATCAACAGACAAAACTTACAGCCCGCGGGAGCAAATACCGTCTTGCTTGCAAGCGAACCCTGATATCGACTTAATGTCTGCAACGCCGTCATGCCGGCCAACGGCAACGACGCAGCATCCTCAAATGAAAGGTTTTTGGGCTTCAATGCGACATAGTGTTCCGGGCATTTGGCATATTCGCTCCATGCTCCTGTGACATAATGCGTTAAAACCAAGATCCAAGTCCCCCATGCTCACCCAAGTGCTTACCTCGATTTGCTTCTGGTAAGCGAGAAAAAACTTCGTCCCCAACTTTGATGCCTTTTACGTCTTTGCCGACTTGCGTTACGACCCCAGCGCAATCATATCCAATCTGGTATGGAAAGCTATGCTCAATCAGATCAGCTAATGCGCATAATGATGGGAGTCATGAAGCGCTGCACGCACCTTTCCTTTACCGCAAGCTTGAAAATGCCAGCCGCTTTCTTCACATCTACTGGGTTGATACTCGCTGCGTGAACCCGAAATAGGACATCCGTAGGGTCGGAGATAACTGGTTGGGATATTGTGGAGAGCTGGTATCCCGAAGGGTCAGTGTAGTTTGGTGCCGTGATAGCCAACATTGATGAGGCCATGGTCGTTTGCACGAAAAACTAAAATGCAAGTCAAGATGAGATAGGTCCATGTAATTATATGGAATCGAATTCACTGAATGAGTCCTACTAGGGGAATAGTTCGTTGCGGTCGGAGGAATGATTGAGCCGGAGGGGATGCGGAGCGGAGCCGGAAATGCAACTCCACTGAGCGATTGTTCCAAGCCTTGAACCACAAGGACTAGCGAAGCGATTATTCTAGCGCGGAATTCCGTGTCTCAATCTGCAGCGGACGCACGCGAGCAGTGCCTGGAAAGATTTGCAGAACCGCAATTCGGCCTTTTCTGAATCCCGTGCCAGTTCTGTCGCGCCTCCGACGGAGCGCACAACCCAAACCACTGTTCACGATCAGCCACAGATTTCCAGATAGATTCCGCAGGGTTTCTTAGTCACATTCACAGCGTATTTCGAAGTTTTAATGCTGCTCCAAGTAGACAGCCATTGAAAATGCTCGCCTCGGTAAACATCAAAATGATTCGTGGCATTAAAAACTTTTACCGCAAAAGTGCGGGCGAGATTCAACGCTTAAACTACCGCATCGTCTTCAGAAACTCGCCAAACCAGTCTCTCACCACTTACTGCCTTGTTTCTCAGTAGCACGATCGCATCCTGTGCCCTTTCCAGCAGTGTCTCGCCTTCCACTATCCTCTGAGGGTTCGGCCGCACGACCTTCTGCTCGAGTAACGTCGGAATGATCTCACATTGCATCTTGTCTTTGAAGAGTTCGTTCTGTTAGATGTTAGCATGGAAATACTGTTCAGAATCGGAATACATGTATCTCACCTTGAGATAAAAATGCGTTCGAACCCCCTTGACAATGACACCCTCCTTCCACTGTCCTTCCGCTGGCTCCGTCATCTGATAGACAGGTGCTTGAATTTCTGTCGGGTCACTGATGACCACCGGCAGCATCACAGCAACTTTGGTGCCGTCGTCCGCCAGTTTTGTGATGTGCCCTAATGACCCCGTCAAGTGTCCGATGCAGTCGATCACGTAGGGCACACCTTGCGGCCCAAGGTACTCCCGGATTTCATCGACAACGTGCTTGTCTCGGTAATCGAAACAGATGGTGGCGCCAAGTGACTTCAAATATTCGTGATGCTTCTTGCTCGAGACGACGACGAGGTTCTTGTATCCCCAATGCCGGAAGACTTCGATGGAGTACATTCCCACGGACCCGGCCCCGCCCCAAAGCAAAATCGGCGCGTCGGCCTCCGGAGGGGTCCACCCTTCGGGAATAGGCCACGGCAGCGGCAGGCCGAGATCCATGACGGCAGCCTGGAAAACGGTGACAATGTTGTCGGGAACAGTGACAGCCTCTTGCATGGTCAAGCCTTGCGGCATCTTGCCGAGCAAATATGTCGGTACAGTGATGAGCGTCTGTGCAGCCTTCTCTTTGCCATCCTTGACGTCGCGGAATGAGTATCCCAGAACTTTGTCGCCAACTTCGAGATCGACATGATGCGGGCCGGGGCCAACCATAAGCACCGTCCCTGCGAAAGTGTCGCCAAGAATGCGGGGGAACATGTCGATCAATAATCCTCCGTCGGCCTGGTGCAGGTGATAAGGTGTCGAAGAAGTCCATTCAACCTTCACAATGACTTCGCCGGCATCGGGTGGATACGTCGGTGCATCGATGAGAATGAGTGGCTCGCGGGGAGCTCTGACGGCGACCGCCGGGTGAATTGCCGGGATTTCGACATCCATGTTTTGATTCGTTCTTCGGCGCACTGAAGATGGAACTGTGGAAGATGCGTGGGAAGAAGGGAAACTGGGAGAGAGCCGGGCTTAAGCTGCACAGAAGATGAAGATCGTGGCCCACAACGATCATACGAGAGCTCGAATGCTTTTTATGAGGAATGATGAAGCTCCCCGAAGGCGGAAAAATAAGCTTCGGAATCTGCATTCAATCTAGGGTCCTATGACAGCATTGTGCATGCCTAGTCTTCTCGCTAAAGCTGCTGTTGGATCAACAATGGCTGGCCGTGGGCTGGGCGGATTTCTGCGGGGGCTTACCAATCGCCCTAGTGAGCTGTCTCTCCTCTCGCCGTGGCGAATGCGATGACAAGTCGTCTCAGGAATGTGTGAGCATTTTTATGTCGTCCGGCTTGAGCAGCATTCGGCTCGTGCGTCCGGAAGCCGGATTCGTTGGGACGAACTTCCGTGCTTCTTCTGATGGAAGGATTCTTGCTGAGCAATGTCTTCGGCGCCGAAGATTGTTGGTGGAGATCACAATCGCACCGAAATCGTCCATCCTCGGCGCCGGTAATCTGTTAGGAGGATGATATCTTGAGCGTGCCGACAGAGAAAGCTTAACAGAAGCCACATTACTATCATGCCTTTCTGCAAACCGCCACGGCGACTCTTCGGCCTGACAAACGGTCAATCGGCGAAGAACGGATCTGCCGATCCCGGCTGTAGCCCCACACGCCCCGCACCTCCCGGCGGAATTCGGAGCTGGATCCACAGCCACGCTCAAAATTTCTAAAATGCAGCAAAAAGTCAACTTTTATAGAAGGGCAATGCTTCGGAGCAAAAGAATGTGATCAGTGGGAGGCTTGAACTCCCGGCCTTGGCATTACTCAACACGACGGGTGTCGTATTAGTACCACGCTCTAACCAACTGAGCTAACCGACCTGCTGGTTATGTGGAAAGCGAGAACCCTAAGATCCATATATTGGATCCACCGCGGGAAACCCTGCGGCATGTGGCCACCAGGGGACTTCCAAGATTTTTCTTCCGTGGCTGTCACCCATTGGTTTACATTAAACATGCAGCCTAGGAAGATATCCTTGGGGCTATTGCATTGTGTTTCGGTCGCTTTTCGTCATGGATGTACGTTATGGTCGTGCAAAGGCACCCCAAGGTGAGGGTCAACCAGGACTGAAATAGTTTTCAATGAGCACTCTCAATATAGAGGAAAGGAGTTCGACATAGCGTATTGAGAGAGTCGGCCTTGGTATCCACACGGAAACTCGTCAAGCATACAGCCACTAGCATTTACGACTTATGCTATCTTACTGATTCGTCCCCAGTCAGTGCTTATTTTGGCTATTCTCGATGCAGAAGAGGTTCGTGAGGACATGGGGCACTCCCTCTCACGCGGCATAGTCAAGGAAGGGGAAGCCTTATCTCACACGCAAGCCCAACCAGCCGTCATAAACTCGAACTTGAAATGCATGAGGCAACACGCAGGATATTCGCAATAAGTATTTCAACGTTTCTTTGAATTCATATCTCATAACTCATTTCAGCCAGTAAAGTCCTTCATAGCATCACCAATAGCGTCATGGCCTTCTCCATCCTTGAGGTCCTTGCCTCCTCTCAGGTCCTTGTTCGTAGCCTGAATCAGCACGCGACGGTAGCTTGTCAAAGCCGGGGAGCCGCTATCTGTGACTTCCAAGATCAAGTGCAGCAGCTGGCCCTTAGCCTTGGGCTTCTGGCTGATCAACTCCAAACAGGACTTCTCAGGCGGCGGCACAGTGACTTTAATCTTCTTGCCTTCCGCATCCAGCTTCTCGATGCCGAGATGCGCAACCTCAAACTGCACAAGCCATTGAGACGCGCTGGGCTCGCGGTATTGCCACCACTTGAAGGTCAGGTTGTCTCCATCAGGGTCGTACGTCTCTGAAGCGTCGAGCTCGATGGTGCTGTCGGCCTCGGCTTCGAAATACAAAGGCTCCAATCCTCCCTTTCCATTAACGACCACGATGGGGTGGTGGTTTGTTGATGCCACATCGGGGTTGAGCGACCACTGCATGCGAGCAGCGAAGTCGTTCTGGTAGGTATCACGCCAGCGCCAGATGGTGGCCTGGTTAGAACGGTACGTCTTGCCGTCTGCGCCGACAACTGAATCCGACATATCACTGTAGTGCTTGCCTCTTTGACCAGCGTCGCTGGCGTCCGTCAGGTCGTAGCGACCGCCCCATGATCCGTATTCAGGGTGCTCGCGGTCGCCGAGACCGTTCTGGATCAGGTACAGGAAGGTAGGGGTATCACCCTCAGGGATGAAGAGATAATCCGGGTAGGCGGATCCCAGGGGGCCAATCTGAATGTTCTCCTTGATCCACTGCTTCGAGACCTTGGAGAAGTCGGGACCGCCCTGGTCAAAGCCGTAGTACTTGTCGCCAGAGATACCAGTCCAAGCGGCAAGACCGTACTGGTTCCAGCCGTGGATGGATGAGATATAGAAGATGTCGGGGAACTGGGTGCGGATCCACGCGGAGGTGTCGTCTTGGTCTGAGATGGTGTATACTCTCAACTTAGCGCGCAACTTAGCCGCCTCTTCGGGGGAGTGCTTGTCGCGGATGGTCAGGAGGACCTGGGCGAGGACATTGGTACCACCCCAGACGAGCACCCACAAGGGGTCTTCTGAAGCAGCCTCAATTCTCTCGAGAAGGAGTTGGGCACCGTCGGTCAAAGGCTTATCCGCACCTACGCCAGCCATACCATAGACCTGTCCGTAAACGAATTAGCGAGATCCCGAAAACCGAAATGGAAGCTATCTTTCTCTCTGGCCGAAAAGGGGTTCATCGCGTAGGGGGTTGTTTGCGTACCGGTGGGCCCGACTTGACCAGGGCTCGGAGACTGTCCGCTGAGGGATACGGGTAGTCGGGATGCGTGTGCTTGTTGAGGTTGTCGACTGCGCCGGCGTAGGCGTCAAGGATCTTGCGAATGTCCTGGGGACAGACCTTGTTCTTCATCCATGTCGAAGAAACCGCGACGAGACCTTCGGTTTGGAACTGGTTGGAGTAGAGGAGGTAGCGGACGAGGGACTCCGCGTCGTCGGGCTCGTTGGAAATGTCTGTGAGGACAAACACTCTGGGCTTGTTGGGGAAGGTCTGAAGTCTGGTGGTTTGCGCCATCTTGTCGGATTGTCTGCAGGTCGCTGTGCAGCCTGCAGGAGTGACGTGAGGGGAAGAGAATGAAGCCACGAAGATGAGGTTACGAGACGGTCCAACTTCGTCGACAAGGGTTTCTCTCAACCGGCACCTGATGATCTGGAATGATGCGATTGTCTTCCTTTCCTTGAACGAAGCCCTGCAGCTTGCAAGCAATGCGTCCCTTTGTATGACGAGATTCCGCGCGCGACGTGTCTTTGGAAGTGGGATGCTAATGATTTCCTTGTTTGGATACCTTCGCCTGTGGTTTTCAGGCCCGAATCATCGTGCGGTGGCCTCGGCCGGATTCCGGTGCTGCTAAATATTCTCCAGGGTGTCAACCCCGCATGCCGATGACTTCTGGACCAGGGCTTGTCCGGTTTGGGGGTTGTCAAGCGCCCACGCGACTCGTGTGGGGACAAACGTCCAGGATCATTTCCCGAGGCCTCGGTCCGGGGTTGCGTCATTTCGAATGAAGGAGTTGGATTGGAATAGCTTCACTGACGCGTCTTGAGTGTCTGCGACTGGTTGTGGGCGGTTTTCGTTCCGCATTCATCAACTTGTCGTAGTTGAGTGTTGGAGTCTATTTTGAAAGCCCCTGTTACCGCGACGAAATCTCCCGCCGTGACCTGATCATTTCGATCAACTTCAAGCATCAATTAGATCAGATGAATGCTTAAACTTGGAGACGGGCAGGGCGAACGATTAAAAACATCCAATGTTATGCGGCGTTTAAAGATGCCGAATATGGAAATCCTAACCACTCTCTGTTTCTTCCCACGCGAAAGACGGCACGGAACACGGACCAACATCGGACAACGGCCACCGCGATAGTGCGTGATCACTGATCGGTAACTCGTGTCTACGCCGCCGAACGGCGCAGTCTGGACTTGACCGACTGTCGACAGAGAATCCGCTTTGTTGTGAGAAGCCTAGCCAAAGTCGGAAAAGGCCCCCGAAACGAATCCACATGGCTGGAAAACGCCCGTCAAGTCGATGAGAGAAGCCCCCAACGCTCGCGAGCCGGAAATAGCCGGGTTCGTGTGTTTGTGCAACGCACGAGGCACAACAAATTTCTCCAAAATTCCCCTGAGCCCAGGAACCGGTTCTCGTGCGGGGGTTACAATTCCTGCATGGGGAAACCAGAGGCACTTCAGCGGCCAAAGGGTGGATATTGGCCTGACTCCCCTGACTCGTCCTGTCCACAACCCACCACTCTCCATGCTCCGACTTTTGATCGGGGCCCCGCAGGTCCATCCCCAGATCATGCTGTCTGCTGGAAACCTCCCCAGATCCACCGTCATCCTTCCCGAGAGGTTCCAGAATAGGGTGACCATTCCATGATGTCGGCGTGGGCCATCGGATGGCATCGTAAGTACGAGTCGTGGGGGTATCTTTTTATAAAGACTTGTCAACGCCCTTGATAGTGCAACATGGTGTTTTGTCCGCACCTTGGCGTTTGTTGGCTTTAGTCTCTTTATCTTGCAAGCAACCAGATCAAAGCCTGCCAACCAATCCCACGCAACTGTCAACACCCTGGGAATTGTTTTGATTTCGCAACGCAACAAAATTTTCACAATGGGCGGTGATACGGAGAAGAACAACACCGACCACCTCGAGCATCCCAACGAGGCTCGGGCTCAATTGGCCAACTTGGGAAATGCGGAAGAGCATGAGCTTGGCAAGTGGGAGTCTCTGAGGAAATACCCCAAGGCGTCATTCTGGTGTGTCTACGCCGTCTGGTGTGTGCTGGTCTTGAGTTTCGAGAACCAGGCCGGAGGTAGCATTCTGTCTATCCCCGAGTTCAGGAAAGACTTTGGACACTTCTATGACGGCGACTATGTTCTCGACACGAAGTGGCAGTCTGCATTCAACGGTGCTCCCGTTGCATCGTAAGTGATTCTTGGGAATGGTTACAAGTTTGAAGGATCAGTGTACTAAAAATCAACTCCTGTAGCGCTGTTATTGGTGCTTTGGGAAGCGGTAACCTTGCTGATTGGCTTGGCCGAAAGACTGTCATTATGATTGCCCTGGGTTTCTCATTCGTCGGAATCACTCTCGAGTTTGTCGCAACAACCAACGAGGTCTTCTTTGGCGGAAAGTTCATCAACGGTTTCGCTATCGGTGCTCTTGGTTCCGTCACAGTCACATACATTGGAGAGGTGAGTCGTCGAGGAACACTCTCTGTAGTGCGATCCACGTGGCATAAACAAATTCTGACTGACCCAATGTAGATCACTCCTCTCGCCCTGCGAGGTCTCTTCACCTGTCTCACAGGTCTCTCGTATACCCTCGGACCCCTCATCGTCGCCGTCATCATTAACGAGACCGGAACCCTCAACAGCCGCTGGGCCTACCGCGCCGTCTTCTGCGGACAATACGGATTTGCCGCCATCGCCGCCGCCGGTATCTGGTTCATGCCCGAGAGTCCCTGGTACCTTGCCATCAAGGGAAAGCAGGATAAGGCCTTGAAGTGTCTGGCACAGCTGGGACATACAGGTGATGAGGGAAGAGTTCGTCTTGCGGTCATCAACCAGACGTTGGACCAGATCACAAGTGAAACCGCTGGCGCCAGCTACCTGGAGTGCTTCCGAAAGTCCAACCTCCGACGCACCATCATCTCCATCTCTCCTCTCTGCATCCAGAGTCTGTCAGGTATCACCTTCGCCGCCTCCTACAGCACTGTAAGTCTCTATCTCATGAATTGAAAAAGACAGCGAAACTAACGACCTACCAGTACTACATGCAACTCGCTGGATACAGCACTGCCGACAGCTTCAAGCTCCAGATTGTCCAGCAAGTCATTTCTCTGATTGGCAACGTCATGTCATGGTACTTGGTCGACAGAATGGGACGTCGCAGCCTTACTGTCAACGGCCTTGCCGTCCTGACCGTCATTCTCCTGGTCACCGGTGGCCTCGCTCTTCCCGGAACTCTTGCCACAAACAAGGGCACTGTCGCTCTTATCCTCCTCTACTGCTGGTGGTACAACGTTACCATCGGTGCTACCGCCTACACGGTCCTTGCTGAGGTGTCCACCTCTCGTCTGCGTATCAAGACCATCGCCATTGGTCTGGCGTGCCAAAAGGCCCTCGAGACCATGTGGAACTTTGTTCTCCCCTACCTCTTCAACCCCGACAAGCTCAACTTGGGCGCCAAGCTGGCCTTCATCTTCGGAGGCTTGTCTGTCATCTCATTGGTACACCTGTGGTTCAACCTGCCCGAGACTGCCGGAAGGACTTACGAGGAACTGGACGAGATGTTCATGAAGGGAGTTCCCGCGCGCCAGTTCAAGGGATACACCCCGGAGGCTACTGTCAGGGGCGAGGCCGTCAAGACGGCTCTCGACAAGGAGCAGGAGCTGTAAAATCACATCATTGTAATTGGACTATCATAGATACCCCTGTTGTTTATTAAAAAGGCCGCAATGCGGGCCGAGTTGCACCAAGATGCCCCATAGGTAAATAAGTGAAGAACAAAGCGTGACGTGAGCATGGGAATGTGTTGGTTAGTGACCTGCTAATTAGCGTATGGCGAGTGTGTGTACCGAATGTCAGATGTATGGCTGCTGCCAGACGGTAAAAAGGTGATAGCTTCATCCGCCAGCCAAAGTCCCATTAATGACAACTTGCGGAGCACATTATCTGGCCGGCCCGGGATGCTGTGCCGTAGCCTGTGGCGCACTGCAAAAGACCTTTGGGGTGTCGATCAATTATTTCATCGACGCGTCTTGCTAGCGGCATGTTGCTGTCATTACTACCCCTGCTCCGAATCCTGCGTCTCACGCACAAAAGCGCGGCTGAGCGATTTGATTGGAGTTTCTTCTTCATAATGCTAGATTTCGAGGATGATTTTTATCCGGAAGGGGAGTATGGCAAATGGGAGTTTCATCGTCCGCGAAGGATTCCTCCGATGCACCGCGCTTGCAGCCACTTCACGCGGTGGCTGCTGTCGCTAGTGCTGACGAACGCGCGCCCGCAATCTCCTTGTCTTAAAATCTCACCATGTCCGCACGTTTCCGCGCTGTCATGGATGTCCCATTAGAAACAAGCTTTATGGCAACTGCTTCATCAGCCTTCGAGATTTGCTTCAAGTCCCACCGTTCGCGACATTCTTCAAAGCTGTGATGGACAAGATCCAAGGAGACCCACCGACAGTAGCCGTCATCGGCGCGGGTGAGGATTGAGACACCAATCCTGGACTTCCGTTAGATCGTCTGCTGATGCTGGAACTTAGGCTCGACTGGCATTTCGATGCTCAAGACTTTGCGTGAAGATGGGTTCGACGTGACATTATTCGAACGAAGGAGTCGGGTGGGAGGTTTGTGGTCATACACTGATGATAAGAGCATGACGACTGCTCTTCCAAGTGAGTCTCTCAACCAGGAGCCACTCATCAGTTCTTATCTGACCCAAGATTCTAGCGACAAGCGCAAACATCAGCAAGTACACGTGTGGGTTCACAGACTTTCCTATGCCAGACAGTGGGTACCAATTTGTTCGTCCCTTTTCAAAGTTAATACTGGGGCAGAATATCCCCCGTTCTTATCGCAAGGACAGTTTGAGGAATACATGGAGTCTTACGCCGAGAACTTTGACCTCTATAAATACATCGTCTTCAACGCACGAGTTGATCAGGTCGTGCGCAGCAGAGATGAGTCGAAATGGCAAGTGGAAATGGTTAGATCCGGTGCGCCTGAAACGAAAGAGTTTGACAAGGTTGTCTTCTGTCATGGGTATCAAACAAAGAAGAAGATGCCAATTTACGAGGGCCAAGCCAAGTTTGAAGGCACTATCATACACTCGCAGCAGTTTCGAAAGTATGTTGGTCTCCTCATACACAGGATCTTCCACTCAGGCTCTTTACTTACATGACACGTCTAGACCATCTGATTTCAAGGGACAAAAGGTTGTCCTTGTAGGGCTCAGCGCCACTCTGAGCGATGTCCTTTCTGTCATTGTGGACCAAACCGACCAGGTCTTTCT